GAAAAATGAAGAAAGAAATAAAAGTATTCCTGGAACTAAAGTAAAAGGATAATACAACACAGAAAAACCTTTAGGACACTTCAAAAGCAGTCCTAAGAGGGAAGTTCATAGCTCTAAGTGCCTACATTTAAAAAAAATAAGAAAGAGCATAAATAAATGACAACATTTACAACTCAAAACTCTGGAAAGGCAGCAGCAAATGAAACCCAAACCCAATGAGATGAGAAGAAATAGCAAAAATCAGAGCAGAAATTAATGAAATAGAAATAAAGGAAACAATACAAAGAATCAACAAATGCAAGAGCTGGTTCTTTCAAAAGATAGACAAGATAGACAGACCCTTAGCCCAGTTAACCAGAAGAAAGAAGGAGCAACTCCAGATCAACAAAATCAGAGATGAAAGGGGAACTATCACAACAGACAGCAAAAAGATCCAGGACATTGTTAGGGAATACTTTAAAAACCTATAGTCTATTAAATTTGGAAACCTAAGAGAAAGGAACGAGTATCTAAAATCATGAGAATCACCAAAGCTAAATCAAGAAGAGATCAACAGCTTAAATAGATTTATAACATAGAAGGAAATTGAAACAATAATACAAAGCTTCCCCACTATGAAAATGACCATTCTATCAAAAGCCATTTATAGATTCAGTGAAATCTCAATCAAAATCCCAATGATATTCTTCATAGAATTAGAAAAAAAAATTCTAAAATTCATATGGAAGAACAAAAGACCCTGGGTAGCCAAAGCAATCCTGAGCACAAAGAGCAATGCTGGGGAACTTACTATGCCAGATCTCAAACTATATTAGAGTTATAGTCATCAAAACAGCATGGTACTGGCACAAAAGTAGACACATAGATCAGTGGAACATCACTGAAGACCCAAACCCAAGTACATGCAATTTCAGCCACCTGATATTTGACAAAGGGGCCAAGAACACACAATGGAGGAAAGACAACATCTTCAACAAATGGTGCTAGCAAAACTGCATCTCCACCTCTAGAAGAATGAAACTATCTTATGTTTCACCTTGCACAAAAGTCAACTCCAAATGAATCAAAGACCTCGATGGGAAACCTGAAACTCTGAAATTCTTAGAAGAAAACTTTGGCAGTAACCTACGAGATGCAGGTGTAGGAAAGGATTTTCTAAAATGGACATCAATTGCTCAGGAATTAAGGTCAAGAATCAATAAGTGGGACCTCATTAAGCTAAAAAGCTTCTGTACAGCAAAAGAAATAACCAAGGGAGAGAAGAGAAAACCCACAGAGTGGGAGAAAATCTTCACCAGCGACACATCTGACAGAGGTTTAGCATCCAAGATATATAAAGAACTCAAAAAACAAAGAATCAAGAAATCAAGCGACCAATTAAAAGATGGCTAAAGATTTGAACAGAGATTTCTCAATAGAAGAAATAAAGATGGCTAAGAAACATCTTTAAAAGTATTCAACATCATTAGTAATTAGGGAAATGCAAATTAAAACCACTTTAAGATTTCATCTTGCCCCAGTCATACTGGCTAAGAGCAAGAGAACAAATGATACTGAATGATGGAGAGGCTGTGGGGAAAAGGGAACACTCATACACTGCTGGTGAGATTGCAAACTCATGCAATCCCTATGGAAAGCAGCGTGAAGAACTCTTAAAAAGCTGAAAATGAACCTACAATATGACCTGCTTATACCACTCTTTCCATATACCCAAAGGACTCATCCTACTGAAGTAAATCATATTAGTCCAACATGAGTTGGACTACATGAGCCCATGTGTGTAGCTGAAGGCTGCCTAACAAGGAACAGTGCCAGACAGGAGAAACCTTCCTTTGAGTTATTGGCCAAGGTAGTCCAAGAGACTCCCAAAATTACACAGGCTATTGCCTTGATGGCCTCCCAGAACTTGAAGGTAAGACTGTATCGCTGAAGACAGGGCATACCTCAGACATGGGATTTGGAGCAACGGAGCTGGAAAGCCACCTACCCAAAGGCTTCCTCTCATAGCTTTGGAGAGCACTACACAAGCTGCTATGGGAGACATCAATTGATGGTCCAACCCCCGCTTTAAGACCTTATTTCCAATAACCAGCACAGCAAATGACATTGGTGCAATAGTGGCACTTTTATCTTGGGAGTAATCAGTAGCTACCTAATTGAACTTAAAGCCCACTCAATGGGAGCCACACTTGTGTGTGGTACTGTAAACATAGCCAAATACTCGTGGCTGGAGAGGTCATAGATCTTAAAGAAAACCTCAAGGCTGTCACTTCCCTAGACAAATGTAATTTCTTACTATGTGCAAAATATGAATTCTTATATTTGCAGAGAAGTGTCCCAGTTACCACTCACCAAAGAAGTTTCTTTTGCAACAGAGTTTGTTACAGATTTCCACATTTCCAGAACTGGTCATACATAGAGATTGTCTGGGAATTGTCCAAGCCTACCTGACACATCTGCAATGCAACCTCTACACCTAAGGCTCACAGGACTTAAACTAAGAGGTAAAGAGGACATTAATACATCTCTCAACTCATCAGTGAAGCTCCCTCACACAACAAAGGGCCAGGAACACAAAGCATAAAGAGTAAGAGTCTGCAGAGTGTGGGTCCTTGGATAGGGCTCCCACAGTAAGCTTCACCCACCCAGACCTCAGGGATCATTGTGGAAGAGGGGACAGAAAGAATGTAAGAGCCAGGGAGGAGGTGCAAGACCATATGGATGCAGAGTCCTATAGGCTCCTGGGACCCTGCTCATATAAACCTACAGTGATGGTGGCAGCATGTACAAGACCCATACAAACTCAAGCAAACAAAATTCCATGCACAGAACTGTGGAAGAAGACAGCAGGCCCCGATCTTGTTGAAGAACTATTGGCAGCTGATTACAGCTGGGTGAGGAAGAGCTGATGTTCTTAAAGGCTGTTACTCTGGATAGGCTGACTAGACCTCAGTGGATGAACTTGCACTGAGGAACTTCTGGAGATAGGACTTAACAGAAATGAGAGGATGCATGAACTCCAGTGGTAGAGGGATATGGGAGGGAGGCTAATGGGAAGGGGGTATAGAGATGATTAAAACTGATTAAAATGTCCTGCATGAAATTCACAAAAACTTGATTTTAAAATGTACAAAAAATTAAAATAAATTACAAAAGAAAAAATGTCATAATGAAACCCATTATTAACTTTAATTAATGTATGCCAATAAAAACTTTAATAAGATTACTAGGATTTACAGATGAGGAAAATGCATTGTACTACGGATGCTAATAGAACGGAGACACTGCTTTGCTGAAGAACAAAAGAAGTAAATAACAAAGAGATCTTTGTGAAGAAAATAATTCCTAGTTGCCTTAAAGGGCACAGGAGTTCAGCAGAAGAAATGCTTTGTGTAGAGCAGTTGATGTAGTAATGACAGCCAGGCCTGGGGTGTGGCCGATCTGAGGGGTAGGGGCAAGAGTAACTTAAGGTGCTATCTTACTGAAACACATTTGAAGCTAAATTTTTATTGTCCATGAACATCTGAGCTTCATTCTGTTTATGTGAAAGACCCTCGAGGGACCGCAGAAAAGGAAATAACATATCAGTGTTGGTTTAGAAAGTTGGGTAAAAAGAGATATGAAAACCAGGAAAGTTTGAGGGGGAAGAAGGGCTCTAGCACGAGCCCTCATAGAATAATGAATTTCCACATTAAAAGAATGGTAGAAATGACACTGATTGGACATAGAGAATTACTAGGAGGGGAATATTCATGCTTGGAAGATCTAAAGAAATTATGAGTTCAGTTTTAGGTATTAATTTTTAGGAACAGTTTATAAAAAATGTGTCCTGAAAAAATCTATAGAACCATGCACTTAGGTCATAAACTATATGACCAAAGAAATAATTTTTAACTAAGACATACTTGTCTTGCCAATGCTATTTCCTCATATATATGAAACTCTAGTTATGAATTCATACTTCAACTTATGAAGTATTCAAATGTAAAGATTTGATATTATATATAATTTAATATTAAATGCATGTACTATTGATGAATTTGTTGGGATATTTCTCTATGTATCTAACTGCTTAAATAGTCTTAAATACGACAGTCCCCGTTTACATTACTGTACATTTCAGTTGCTTGGCTGCATCAGTTGATGTGCCTAATTGGAATTTATGACAAAGAAAGATATTTTTTCCTACTCTGAGGTTCTTCGTATTATTTCATGTAGTTGTTCCTTCCTTCTGTTAGACGGCCAGCTTTGAAATAACAAAAATAGTGCAGCTACCCTCTTAAGGTACTCTAAATTGTTAGGCTATTACCGTTTGATGATATTCTGCTGACTCTAGATTGGTGCAGGAGATGGGGTGACATAAGGTGCTAACTTTTCACTCTTTCATAAAACATTTCTAACGCATTACTTAGAATAATGTTTACGTTACTAAAAATTCAGGTGTAATAAGTGTGATTTTTTCACATCAACATACCAAGCATGTCTTATCAATTATCAATCAAGTACATAAATTTGAGTTTGCTTGCTTGTGATTCATCTGAACTAAATCCCTGACAAGCCTCATCTGCTAATTGGACTTAGTATTTATGTTGCTAAATGAGAGGCGTTTTGGCAGATCTCTAGGGTTGTAAGATCTGCCCAGTGGAATAAACAGCTAACATCTGTCATCCTCTTCTGCTCCAGCTTGATCTTTAGCAAGTTAAGTACAGTAGCCCTGAAGTAAGAGTTATCAAATGTGTGAGTATCTGACTCACCTGTTTGTGTGAAGGCAAGGAAGTGGTCATCATGAGTAAATACCAACAGCTGGAAGCCATTGAGACCATTAATCCATTTGGTTTTGATTTTGCAGACTCTCTGCCCTTAAGGCTTAGCAGAATTTAGAATTTTTGAAATGTTTTATAATTATTTTTAGCATGTTCTACTTGTACAATATATGCTGACAATTATTAGATTAATTATAATTACTTTTATGACATCTTTCTTGGCTTTTTTTTTTAAAGAGACTAACTTTGGATTTGGCTGGGCTTCGGAAAGAAAAAGAAGATTTGCTGAAGAAATTGGAGTCTTCATCTGACATCACAAGTCTGGCAGAAGAAGTGTCTAGAGTAATAGCTCCACAGACACAAATTACCTCACTGGGTCCTTCGAGAAGCATGGATTTGGAAATGAAGCAATTGCAGTGTAAACTAAAGGTGATTATAAAGTATGTTGCCATGAAAGCACACAATAAATCACTACGTCCTTAAAAATATATCAATTCTATAAAGGTAAACTATGATAAACCAGTCCAAAAATAGGAATGTTGTATGTGATTCAGTCATTCAGTTTTAGTAATTAAAGTTTTATTCTTTTTGTTGTTTATTTTTCTTTTTTCATAGTATTATTCTGTGGGTGAAAAAAATGACCAGGTAGCACGACAGTCCATCTCAGGAACTATAGAAACTAGCCATTGTCCTCTGCTCCCATACTCATCTCCTCACTGCTCTCCATGTCTTCCTCCAACTGAACAGAACCTTTTCAAACATGATGGATCAACAGAGTAAGAATTGCTTCCTCTACACACTTGCTGCTGGCTTAAACCAGGGAAAAAGGAGAAGGAAAGTAGGAAAGGGGAAATGAAGCGTTAAACACCAAAGGTTAGAGTAAAGAACAGTGTCTTTTAAACAGTTATAGCTAAGTCCAGGTAACCTGCCAACAACTTAGGAGTGAGGCCCACCCAAGTTTATATAGAATTACCTTACAAGAAACAGGATTTGTGTGTTTTAATCAGAAAGTTCATTTCCCTGTTGCTTAAAACTATCTCATTTGTTTTTCATGCATTATTTTCTTCAGTGAGAATTGCTGGCTGGACGCTCACAGCAGTGTATGTAGGAACATGGCTGTAAGGAGAGTCACTGAAAAGAAAAATCTGACTTTAAATGTACTGAGTACATTATAAATGGAATAACTGACTGTAAAGAGGATATTGGGGCCTGGAGAGCTGGCTCAGTGGTACAGAGCACTAGCTGCTCTTGCAGAGGAGCCGGGTTCAGTTCCCACCACACACAAGGCAGCGTACAACCATTCATAACTCCAGCTTCCGGGGATTCAAAGCCATCTTCTGACCTCCACAGGTGTCGCATGACACAGGTACACTTACATGCAGGCAATGCACTCATACACATAAAATAAAAATAATAAATATTTTAGGAAAAGAGG